CAACTGAACTGTGAAAAATCACAACTGAACTGTTTCAAAAATCACAACTGAACTGTGAAAATTCACAACTAAACTGTGAGCCTTCTAGGCAATCGTAGGTTTCTGTATATTGTTTGGCCTTCTGTTTTGAGTTTTAATAATCACCATATACACAAAACAAAACAGCAAAAAACATTTGTATAGAAGAAAAAGTTATAATTCGATTAACTGTAATCCTGGGTTAGCGTAAACAGGCTTCCGAACAATCCTGCGCTGTTTACAACAAGCCAACCCAATATGAGCCCGCGATCCAATCGATAACCAGCACTTGGTTAGCGGTCAACTTCAAAAAAACACGCGACCTCGAGGAGCTGTAAACTTGAGCCCGCGATATGGTCGCGTGATACTGGTCAGCGGATACCTTGTTTTGACAGGTGTCAATTGATCATAACATGGATGTCTAATGTCAAGGAAGTACACGGNGTCAAGGAAGTACACGGTAAACCAAGGCTGCATGTCTCTGTCAACCTATTATTTGGAGTATGGCCGCCATGTTGGGCAACTCCGCCGCCGTCGTCGTCGCCGTCGTCGTCGTCGTCGTGCGTACGCGCCCACCAGCAATACCGCTAGCCATGATAACCATGAGAAAATCAACTCATGGGTTCCCTTTTCTTTCCTATATGAGTATGGGGCTCCGCTTGGGGGCCCTTCGGGCCGCCAGAGCTCCGCCATTACGTTACAAATAGAAAATACTAGCTTTAAAAGCTTACACTTTACAACACAGAACTAACATCGACTTATCACTTGATACAGTATTAGTTTATGATTGTCGCTTACAAAATGCTATTTTACATACTTAAAGAGCATCATATTTCTTGTTTACAAACATTATTTAATGCGTATGACATAAGCTACTTACAAGACGTTGCATAGAATTACTGTTATGTTACTTACAATACGTTATAAATCTTACTTACACGAATCACTTGCACCAGGTGATAACATAATGACTGTAGCGTGGTTATCATTACATTTTCTAAAGCAACACGCACGCACGCACACAGTACAGATACACGACTAAAGCAAAGCGGCCCACGTTTCTTTAAATTGATCAAGTTCTTTGTTTTTAACAGCCAAGGTGCGAAGGATACAGAATTTTTCTTTTAGGCGCAAAAGAAAGCCATCGAAGTCTAGGGAGCCAACGCGTATGCTTGAAGCGAAAATATGATATTTTGCAATTATTAGAGAGTAGTTGA